TTTGTGATGTTAGACAAGTCCCTTCATCAGTCTATGCTCTGACTCCTGAGTCTGTGAGTACAAAGGGGTTAGAAGAAGAAATTCAAATCAATGATCTATTTTAACTCTAACATCCTGGGGGTTTGCAAGTTAGTAAGGGCATAGACTTGGTTTTGAGCAAAATATACCTGGCTATTGATGCTCAGAACTGTTAACATCTCTCACAGCAGCTTATGTGCTTGATAACTTTTCTATTAGAATACTATTTTTAGAAGTTTGTATTATCTTTTAAAAATTTAACCATAAAATCATGATCATTTTGACTGTTGTCTGTTATTCATATCTCTTGAAAATTTAAAAAGACTAGAAATATCAATGTAGTTGGTGTTGATTGGGGAAATGAAGATTTATGTATTATAATTCCTGGTGTTGTTCCCAGGAGATTTCCCAACTATAAACCCACTAAATAGGCTATGTTCAGGCTTATTATTGCACAGTTATGAGCCATGTACTTAAGGATAACTTGATATTACTCACTGCTGTATAAAACAGAGGAAAGTTCATTTGCCTTTTTAGGACACTTGTGCGTGGGCTCTCCTTATATAACAGTTGGACATTAGCTGAAAAATATGGGTAAATTCCATCTGTAGTCTGATGTGATATTTAGCCACCATCCACCAGAACATTGTTATTATGTTAGCAATCCATATCCTTAGTCAACAGGACTGCGAATGGGGCCTGCCAAAACTGGACAGTGCAAAACCTGCACGCTGTCAGCTTTTCTCACAGAAGGATAGAAACCCAATTTGCCTGTCAAAAACTTTCTGTAACTTTGAAATCCCACTTACCATTTTGGGAACTGATTTTCCTCTTCTGAAAAAAAGTTGAGCTAGATATTCTTTTAAATGGATGTTTTGAGCAGTTATGATCTAGCTTCCTAGCATAAGAAGCATCTCACTAACCATTTAAGAGCAGCCCACTACTGCTCTGTATCCCTTCTATCGGTCCATGGGAGGTGGTTTTGAAAGGTGTTGTCAGTGGAGGTTCATTTTGTTCCAGTTAGTTCTTACATGACTTGACTGTGCCTCCCATTGTAGGACATTAAATACCCTTGGTCTTCACTCACTAAATGCCAACAAACAACCGCCTAATCATTAGGACAAGCAAAAAACACCTCCTCTACCTACTTCCAGACACCCCCTTGACAAGCAGAACTACCACTGGTTGAGAAATCATTTTAGCATCAAGTTGCTCTCTGGTCTTGGGAATTTGTTTCTGAAACTTGCTACTAAATCCTGGATTGGGAAAGTCCCCTGCAGAAGGGCATGGCAACCCACTCCAGTACTCATGTCTGGAGACTCCCATGGATAGAGGAGCCCTTGGCGGGCTACCGTCCATAGGGTCACAAAGAGTCAGACATGACTGAAGCAACTTCGTGCATTTGCACAATGCATGAGCACTGTATAAATCTCATTTATCCTTTCCACAACTACATGGAAATGCATATTCATAGTCCCTTACATAGATTAGGAAGCTAATGCTTAGAGAAATAAGGGAGTTTGATCAAGCTCTCATCGTTAAGAAATTGACAGGGCTAGGATTCTAGCTGAAGTCCACGAGACTAAACAACTCAGTTTCACTGCTTTGGCCAACAGCCGAGGTGCTTTTTCAACTGACTTGTCTTTCAAGTAGTAAGAAAGTTAACTGAAATCCCTAACTTATGAACCAGGCTGTTGATAGTGACACTGAAAACAATTATTTTGTACTGTGTTCTGCCAGAGATACGATTTTTCATTATTGCTAGGACTGCTCTCAGCAGGATCATCTCATTAGCTGAAGAAAATGTTCCCTGTTGTTCCATGAGAGACGGATCAGATGGAGAAGTATAAAAACAAACTCTAGAAAGTGATTCGGTGTTCCTTTCATTTAGGGGATAGAACAGTAATCCCCTTCTTTTCTGATACCCAGCTTCCTAAGTGATGTTTTAGTTGTGTAGTTGCAGAAGTGTTTTGAAAAAGATGGAGAAAAGTTTTGCAGAGTTGCCTTTCAAAATTCTTTATCAGTGTTTCCATACCAGTAAGTTGGGGGTGTTGAAACATTGATAAGTACACTTACTACTTGGCTGTTTTAAAATTTCCCATGTAAGAAAAAATAAATAAATAATAAAATAAAATAAAAAAATAAAATTTCCCATGTAGGAAAATAGCAGTTTGGCTAGATTGGTCTCTATCGACTATGAGAAATAGCTAATACTGAGACTTTTATATTTTTTATTTTATCTTAGAACAAGCTCAAATGCAAGCGCATCATTAAATATATCAACATACCTATGGATAGACATCTTCCAGGCCATATTTTATAGCAACCATCCATAAAGTCCTGTCACTTCTCTCCCTTTGCTCTCCATTATCTATAGAAAAGCCAAAGTGATCTTTTCAGGATTAGGTTTGATGACAGGATTTGCATTTCATTTAGAATAAAATTGAAGCACCTCATCGTGGACCATCAGGCCTACGAAATCTGGCTGCTGCTCTTCCCTCTGAGGTTCCCTCCTTCCTCTTTCCACTCACTGACATCTAACCGCTTCCTTTTTATATCAGGATTTTTACATCTGCTGTTGCTCTTCATGGACCATGTTCACAGATCTTTACCTGGCCGATTCTTTCTCGTTGTTCAAGCTTCAGTGTAAATTTCTTTACAGCAGAAAATTCTTCCCTGATTCCCTCAATTAGTCATTCTTTTATCTCCAATCACATTGCATTTTACTTTATTTTCCAAGAGGAGTTTTCAGCATTTGAAATGACCTTGATTATTTTGTTTACTTGTTTATTTTCTGTTAAACAAGAGTGAAAGCAGTGGCTTTTCTCATCTTGTTTGTCACTGTACCTCAATGCCTAGAATAGAACCCAGCATATAATAGGGTCAGGAGTATTTGTTAGGTGACTGAATGAATTAATGGATTCCAGTTCTGTGCCTGGAAATGTAAGTCTGAGGTAAATTGCCACAAGGCACAAAAGTTTATATTGATGGTCCAGATCTAATTAAACATGGGAAAGTAGAAACTAAAATGAAATTATCAATTTTCTTTTTATTATTCCGTGATCTGCCTGTCAACAACAGGGATTCTATTGGGAAGTAGGTGAAAGCCAAGGAAAACCTAGGGCTGCTTCACAGGGTGAACTTTCAGACCACTTTATATCTCTCCAGAGATAGGCTTCTCCTTTTTGTACAGCTCTTCTGTTTATTCCAGCAGGCTCACACTATTCTTATCAAAAATTTCAGGGTAAACATCAAACTATCCCCAAATATCCTATTTTATACTTCTTTCCTGGCCCTCACATCTGCCAAAAAAAAAAAAAAAAAAAATTTTGACATCACCCAGTTTAAAATCATCTCCTACAACAGTGACATCACTTATCTGGTCTCCTGTACTAGCTGTGAAATTATATTGGCTTAAGTCTTTGGGTTTCAAAAATAACCTTTTTTCCTGTGCTCATATATGTCCCAGATGTCCTTTTATTGAGTTCACAGAATACAAATGGAAAAAGGTTATTACCAGACAGAGTGTTTAAAGATGAAAATCAAACCTAATACATGAACTCCAACAACTGAAATAAGGAATATAATATTTATAAAACTGAGTAGGAGGTTGCAATCATTGCTCTAAAATAAAGCATTAAAAATTAATTCAGAGCAAACCTGTCTGTGCTACAGCAAAGCTCTCTTTCATTAAGGTAGCACTGCATGTTCCTCCTGAATTAGTTCCCCAAATAAGTAAATAGCTTGTAAGAACTGCGTGTTCTGCAAACTACAGAAGGTCTACATGAGGCACAATTTAGAGTTACCTTCAGTGTTAAAGCATTACAGACAGACCTTTAATTTTGAACCAATTAATGGTGATTCTTGCAGTTTCTCTGCATTTTTTTGTCCTTGAATATTACTAGGAAAGTTTAACTCACATGGTTCTTATTCATCCTCATTTGGTTAATTCAAATGATGCTGTATTATTTGATTAATTCATGTTGCAGAATATTAAATATTAGGAACCTGTGGGTGCTAGTTAGGTGATACTTTAAACTTTTCCATAGATTTTCATTTCAAAAAGTTTTATGTTCCCCATGTAAGAAATATTTTCTCACAATCATCTACTTCACATTATTGCTATCATTTATTATCATCATCAATCATCATCATTATCATCAGTTTCCTACCTTGGATGACACTAAAAAGAAAGAAAAGGAAAACTGCTATTGTTTATCTCTGCAGTCACTATTGGGATGAGGTTTTTATTTTTCCCAATTTACACTATTGCTCTGAAGCCCTAAAATAAACAACCTTATAGTCTCTAGGCTCTATTGATTTTTGAATGATTTCAAATAAAAAGCATCCAGTTTCCATTGCATTGACAAACTGCTCAGCCCCTGGGCAAAATCTATTGGATTCCTGTTAGATGGAGGGTCAACAACTGAAAGTCCAAAAAGTAGACTTGAGATGGAAGGAGGAGAGTTGGTCTGCTCAGCTCAGTAAATGGGTATTTAACCTTTGACCAATGACGACAGGCCTTCTTTAGTTCTATTAGACTGAGAGCAAGCTGTTATGATTAAATAAAAGGGAAAAAAAAACTGTTTAGAGCCGTACTGAATATGTCCTGGGAATTAAGGCATATGGCAGGGATAAGGAAAAAAGATTTTCCTTATGCTAATGACCCTTGATGTCTGAAATAAATTAGATCCATTAGAGTTTATGCTCAATAAAAGAAAGACTTTAAGCACTCCAAAGTTAGTGATTCGAGACTAGTTTTTGCTCTGAAATTCAATCTGCCTCCTTATTAATTCTTAGTGAGGCTCCAGAGCAGACAGGAGATGCAAAATCATAATTCTGTACTGAACCAGAATTTTAAAGGACCCAGGTTTCTTCTCCTTTTATTTTAATTAAGCCATTTTTCATGCTTCTCATTTTGTTTTCCTCATTAATTTGATTTTGTTCCCATTTTTGTTTCATTTTTTTGTTTCTTTTTCAAGGTTTCATTTATCCTATTTCAACTGAGCAGAGAACCCAGAATGAATATGGATTTTCTTGTAAGTTTGATGTTTGGTTTTTATGTTGCTGAATAATCATTTAACGTTATTGCCCCCAGTTCAAGTTTACCTTTCCACAGATGTGCACACAGGAAATCGGCGCCTAATATATTCCAACATGAAAAACAAATTAGATTTTCACTGCTGAAAAGAAGAAAGGGTCATTTCACGTCTCTGCCAGCTTTAAAATCTATCAGTCTAACATTCAAAGCTTAAGTCCCAGTAGCTGACAAAACTTACCATGAAATATGTGGATCTAAATAAAGGGCAAGTTTCGAATGCTAAAAAGTAAAGAGTTGAGAAAATGCAGATCCATTGAGTTAGAGATCATGAATGTTGAATAAGCAATTACAGCCTGGTAAAGCAAAACATTAAGGGTTTAGATACAGTATTCTGACCAGCGTTCAGAGCACTGCTGTAGGGCCTCACATGTAACCCAGCAGCAAAATGAAACAGCACTCTGAAAGCAGTGCTCACAGTGCCGGGAGGGTTTGGTACATCACTGGTTTCCTGAAAAGATCTGCCAGTGTTGACTTGATTGATGCTTGAGCAGAGAGTCTAGAAACTTTGGTAAAGACAATTATTTAAAAAGAAAACAAATTCTTTCACATATAGTACATTTAAATAAAATCCTGAAATAAATGGAGCGATTCCCCATAGGGAATGCTGTTTTACTGTCAGTGTGTTACAGATACACGGCAGGAGACAAGTCATTTCACCATGTAACTCATGTGACTGTGAGTCTTAGCAGAGAGGAGTAGTTCCTTGACTTTAGGAGGCCAGGAGACCTGCAAACCTGAAAATTCTCTTCCTGCAAAATAAAAATGCCCTTGTATAAAGTTGAACATAAAAAGGCTTTTCTTGACCTTCTGAAGCACCAGTTTAATCACCTTTCACAGTGAGCAGACAGTTTTGGTTAATTTTGCTGGCCATTTTTGTGAGTCACAGAAAACTAAAAATAATAGAGGCTTTAAGATGTCTCAAGAATTCAGGAAAGCTTTAATTTTGTTGGTTCAGTTATCAACTTATATCACCATTTACCATTGGATCAGAGCATGCTCTATGCCACTAAGGCAACATGCAACATTTATAGGAATTTTCTTCTTGCTCTACCCAGAGACAGACCTCCCAGCTGACCTCACACCATGTTAATCAAATGCTTAATTGCCTTTTGGGGATAGTCTGACCTTTCTGATCACTGAACCAGGCCTTTATCTTACTCAGTACAGCATAGAGCTATATTTTATTCCAGTAATGAGTGGCTCACATGTAAATCTCTGACAAGAACCCGTGAGAAACTCAGTGTTCTCAGAGGTAATACTGAATCTGTAGCAAAAGCCTGGAGTTATCAGCATTAACCCCTGCTCCCCAGACCTGGGTCTTCTGAAAGTGTACCTTTCAAACCCAGCATGTTTGCTCCCAATGTTTGCCTTGCCTTGCCTTGCCTTCCATCGTTCCCACTCACCCCTTCACTGATTTAGGGGAAAGTGAGAAGAGTGCTGTGGAAAGTAATTTTGTGACTGGGAATGATACTTAGAAAAATATACTGGTGCAATAAATATACAAATTCAGTAAATGCCAGATGTTTCTAACAGAGTGTTTATGTTTGTTTTTAAAGAACTATCAGTGAATTCGAAGCTGCCTTCCAAACTTCTCCACCTGAAATTAGTAATAAAGTGTTGTGTTTTTTTTTTTCTTTTTCCAATGGGTTGAGATTTTTTTAGCTCCAGTTTCCTTTTACGCCTTGTAGTAAATGGTCTGTTATGTTGCCCAATTTAAGGTAGATTAGTGAGTGAATACATGCAGAGTGAGAAAGGGTGAAAATGCAAGATAATTTTCCATTGAAAGGCCACAGTTGTTTTAAATAGCTTTTGAAATAGATTTGAAATTAACCTATAAAAAAGGCAATAACTATCTGAGAGAAATTATAGCAACACATGTATGTACTGTGAGAAGTTTCTCTAACCACCGAATTCCATGTTTCCTTTTCCCCTTCAGCTGCTCCTGATTCAGATGATGTCGCTCTGTATGTTGGCATTGTGATAGCTGTGATAGTTTGCCTGGCCATTTCTGTAGTTGTGGCCCTCTTTGTGTATAGGAAGAATCATCGTGACTTTGAGTCTGATATCATTGACTCTTCCGCACTCAATGGAGGCTTTCAGCCTGTGAACATCAAGGCAGCAAGACAAGGTCAGTTGCCATTGCACTTCATACGTGGACTTAGGCATGTAAGCAGCCTCCCTATGTCTCCAAAATCCATGAAACCACATCAGCTGAAACATAAGCTCCATGAAGACAAAGATTTTCATCTGTTTTGTTGATTGTTGTGTTAATTTCCTTCATATAAGTCATTAGAGTTGACAAGGTGCACAGATCTCTTTTTTCCCTTTTATAACAGGTTTCTCTGTCATAAAGTTTTATTTGAGAAAAGTACAAAGATTGGTTGATAGATTTCTTATGTTCCCTTTTTTTCCTCCTGTTAACAAGGCATCTTGTCTTGCTCTGAATACAGTGGTCTACAGGTGAACCCAAATCCTGTAGAGATGAGAGAAACTATTCCCTAGTCACCTAGTGACGATCACAAGTGTCTGCAGATTCAGTCTGTTGAGTTAGCTGAGTACCATAGAAACAATGAGTAATCTTCAAGGCAAAATGTAGAATGAACTTGTCTATTTACTTGTAGCCAATAAGTAAACAGATTCCAGCCATCTAATTGCCATTTTCAGTAGAACCCTAGTGTCTGTCCATCTCTAATATTTGTTGAATTGCTTTGCTATTGGCTCAGAAAGTGTCAGGGAGAGTCTAAGTTGTCTGAATGAAGAATGCAAATGGGCGTCCTTTCTCTTTCTGACTCAGATCTCCTGGCAGTACCCCCAGACCTCACATCAGCCGCGGCTATGTACAGAGGACCTGTTTATGCCTTGCATGATGTCTCAGACAAAATCCCAATGACCAACTCTCCAATTCTGGATCCACTGCCTAACCTGAAGATCAAAGTGTACAATACCTCAGGTGCTGTCACGCCCCAAGATGACCTCTCTGAGTTTGCATCAAAACTGTCCCCTCAGATGACCCAATCCTTGTTGGAAAATGAGGCTCTCAACCTGAAGAATCAGAGTCTAGCACGGCAGACAGACCCCTCCTGCACTGCGTTTGGCACCTTCAACTCCCTTGGGGGTCACCTTATTATCCCCAACTCAGGTAATTCCTAAGGGTGTTTACGTTGCAGAGGTAGATCTGGGAAACCTATTCTTGTACCAAGATCTTTATTATTTATTTTCATTAGGCCTGAAAAGTTAAATGTATCGTATCTAATCCAAATCTATTGTTACTTTCAATGTAAAACAAACATTACTTCAGTCAAGATCATCAAAACTGTTTATCTTCCTCTAGCCAACTCTGAAAACACTTCCTCTAGAAATATTGCACTCACAACTTTCTGCCGAGGCATAACTTACAATTGCCATTGACCTTCTTTTTAATAGCACTTCATAAGGCAGCATTAAGCCAAAAGCTCTCACTGTTGTCATCACACTTTAAAAGGACAAATTAATTAGAAAACATATCAGTTGGTTCAGTTCCAATTTCCTACAGGAAGCAGTACTTTAGAATACAAAATTAGATGATCAGAGGACATCAAATCTTCATTTATTCTTTTTTACACAGTCTTCAGGGTCAAGGTATTTATAAGGTATTCACGCCACATAGCTTCATCATGTGTCTTTTTAAGGTAGTATTAAAGTAGTACCTTTTAGTATTATTCAGTTTTCATTTAGTTATCTGCTTATAGAGAATAAGCTCCATAAAGCTCTTAAATAGTGAACTAAAGTTAGTGACCCATAATATTTGCTTAAAGTTTGGTATTTATTAATCAATAGTAGTAAGGAGTTTGGAACCATCAGTTATGAGAGGGTTATTGGACTCCCCTGTGCATGTCCAGGCACTCTTTTGGACCAGATAGAATAGTCTGTGAACACAGAAAAGAAAAAAAAAAAAAACAGTTTGATTGACCGAAGATCTTATATGTAGCATAAGAAGCGAATGTAATGTGTAAACAGCCATAGAGCCAAGGAATATAGAGGACCAATTGAACTTGTCTTTGGTTCTTCCAATCATTCAGTCCCCCATTTCAACACCTCAGCAGTTTTTCACCCCATGCCTTTTAAAAGTGTATGTTAATACATTGAAATGTTGAATGGAATATCATTTTCCCTTTTCTAAAATACATTTTACAGAGCTGAGATCACACATTACATAAAGTGCTTTTATTCCAATCTTTCTCATTCTCACACAACTGCATGCTTTTTTAAAATCATGATTAAATATATTTTTAATAGTCTACAAATGAATAGATCAGCATATACTCTACTGTTCTTTCCTTGTTTAAACATTATATTATTTCCAAGACAGTTTTTTTTTTTCATGACAGCCAGTGGATTATACCTCTTCTTTCCATTTCTACACTTGTCACTTTCTCACATATGAATTATTTTAAAGGCTTCTTAAGTAGAAAGGAGAGAGCCAGCATGTTTAAATATGTACTCGACAATGGTGAGCTACATGCATTATTTTATTTAACAGTAATCTAATATGTCTCAGGCCTTATTCTTATTACTTTGCATCCATCATTCTGTCTCATCCCCTTAACAAACATAAAGGTGCATTTGATTGTTCCCATTGGAAAAAGTGAAAATACCGAGGCTTGAGTGCCTCATGTGTGGTCTTCCTGCTTTCATTGTGTGCCTCACCAAACCATCCCGGTATCTGACATGAGCATCACATCCTACTTCCCACAGCCCCGCAAGGCACACGTTACTTCTCAAGAAGGTCATGCCTCAACTGTTGTAACCAGCTATACAAAGGGCTTTGAGTAACTATTCCTCTTTAACTCTGTCATTTACTCTTGAGGCTTTCCAATATGGTCAAGCAATTTCCTTATGGTCCTGTGTTCATATGGCATATTCCATTCCCTTGCTAATTAAATAAGCTACTCAAAGACAAGAACACTGTCTTTTACTTTTTGGCTTTCACAACCCATCAAAAACTCTACTCACAGTCAGGTTCCATAAGATTTTTTATAGAGTTGAAATTAACTGCATTTATTAGAATAGAATTGTGGAGCCAAATATCTTCAAGTTCTGTCCACCTTGAACTACTGTCTGTGATAATGCCACAGTGGTCCAAGCCCATGGTTTCCACAGTGTGGTCCACTGACCACCAGCATTGGCATCACCTTGAGACTTGTTAGAACGACAGTTTCCACAGACCTTCTGAATCAGAAACTCTGAGAGTAGGATCCCGTAATGTGCTAGCAAGACCTCCAGGTAATTTTGCTGCAAGCTAAAGTTACAAACCACTACTGTCAGCACAGTTGACTTAGAACAGAGCTCAACCCAATAGTCTACAAAATGCACCAATTAACAACTAAGTAAAAACCTGCTTGGCCTGCTGTGACTAAAACTAGCAATTGCTCAGTTGCTGTTCACTTTCTAGAGTTACCTATGATGAAAGAAGTTCTTCACCAATTATTTGTTGCAGAAAAACACTGATGCTAACCAGATACTTCAGATATAAATGTTTTTTGATATTGTTGAGGTTAGCATTTCCCTGACTTTGAGTCATGTGGGGATTTTTTTTTTTTAATTAGAAACGATGCATCATTACAGCTGTTTGAAATTTTAAGAGCAGTTGTTGGTTTTTCCCTCATTTTACAAGGAAAACACCAGTGGAACCATCTGTCTATTCCTTAAATAAAACAAGAGTTTTAAAAAAATGACATCATTCCTTTAAGTGATTCCATAACAGTTCAGAGGGAACTGTGGTAACAAATAAGACCAATAAGGGAGGGAAGCTGGGTGGCTATGAATATTTACATGTCTTTAGAGAAAAAGCAGCAGGCTTGTGGCGATGTGGCCACAAAATCTCCTCCTTCCTTTCCACTTGCTTCAAAGGCGTTCTGTGAAGTTTCCTTTTGATTCATAGGTCTTATGTGACTGCTTTTCTCTTTTGCTATTCAGGAGTAAGTTTGCTGATCCCCGCTGGGGCCATTCCCCAAGGGAGAGTCTACGAAATGTATGTGACTGTACACAGGAAAGAAAATATGAGGTAAATATGCTTTTTCTGGTGCACTTGACTTTATCAATGTCTGACTTGCAGGAGAATTGTATATTAGACAGAGTAAACCCAACATACGTTTGTCTTGATTGCCCTGCTTCTGGCATATCCTTTTCAACTAGACCCATAAAAGGCCAGTTTTTACTACTCTTTATCTTTGAAGCTCCAGACACTTTTGCAGATCTTGAATATGGGCAGAAGGCCAGAGATATTTCCCCCAAGTGGACATGTGGCCATGTTAGCTGAAAAGATGGCTGGAAGTGTGATCCATAAATTGTGCTAGAGATACAAAGAGAAATCAGCTTCATGTGGCCTGGCTCAGGAATACAGCCTGTTGCCATTTTAGGTTTAAAGGTCACATAGAATTGGACAACCCCTTAATCCTTGACCTGCCATCCCAACCTCAGCCTCGCACTTTATTCTCACCCTCAGATTCTTCTTTGGGAGACTGTCTTCTAGTTTTTCAGTGTTACTGACCTACTTCTTATATTTAGCGCCTATAAAACCTATGCTTGGGCTTTGCTAAATGGATATAGGGTTGATTAAAACTAGGTTGAATCTAAGAGTGTTTTGAATGTGTCATAATCATAAAGATGAAATTATTTTGAGTAAAAATGACAAGAGGAGTTTCGAAGTCCTAAATTCAATTTTCAGTTTGGCCTCTAATAAATTGTATCTGGTCATCCTTGATTAGTTCTCACATAAAGTGCATGTGTTAAATAGCACTCTAGAGGCCTGATTGATGAATGCTTCTGAAGTGCACCAAGATCTTAAAATAAGAGATGTTGAAATGACGATCCTTACATGTAATCATCACTGTTTTTCCAAAGGGGAAAGGCATTGGCTCCCCTGCCCTGAGCTCTGGATGCAAAGTGAGAATGCCAGATGTAGAACTAGCTTATCATTTGCTGTTGTTCAGTCGCTAAGTCATGTCATCATAAGATATATCTTTTCTCTTCCCCTCTGTCATCCTCAGAAAAACATCTCTCTTTAGTCATTGTCTTCAGTAGCCAAAAAGTTCTGTTATTATGCTCTTGAGTAAAGATTTGGTATTTATAACCTGTAGGACCCAGAACAGTGGTTTCCTCGGGTGATATACTTTCAGCTACACAAACTTGAGCCTATCCAAGAAAATAATACAATTCCATGATCATTATTCATGTGCCTTCAATTTGAGCAACAGAAAATCACTAAAAGTCTTGTATTTGTGCACATCAAATATTCATTTTTCCATTCCCAATGTAAAGTAATATTCACAGTCCCTCAGAGTGCCCTTCTTTTGCAGCAGGAGAAATGAGGATTAGCAAACAGAGATCCCTTTATATTTTTGTTTTCTTCTTTCTTTTGTCCAGAATCAAGGTTAACACTAAGCATATCCATCCCTCAGGGCCTTTTGCCAACATGGATGTTTGGTTTAAACACAAATGAGTATTGGCTTGTGCTTTATTCTGAGAAGGTGTTCATGGTCTGTTATTTTCCATGTGATCACCATAATCTATGGCTGAAGATCAAACCTTAAGAGGCTGCTGCGGGGTGTGCTGAAGCTGAAAGACATGGGCACTCAAGTGCCTTGTATGATTTTTCTTCCTGCGATTTAGTTAGCACCCTGACCAGGATAATTGTACACTCTGGATGAAGGAGGGAGAAAGCAGGAAATTGACAAAGCTAGACAATTCTGCTTTAGTGTTCTTCTGCCTTTGACTTTAAAGAAAAGGAAACTATAAATCACCTCTTACTATGCCTACCACTTGAAGTTAGGTTCAGAGGGAATTGCTCTATTAAATTTGGTATGCCTCAATGAAGTTCTGTTTATAAAAGTGAAGCTAGAGGATCCTCAGGATCTCAAATGAAAATGTACACCAGAAACCATGCAACAGGGAACAAACACAAGGAGACAGCTCTCTCAAATAAATGAGACAGTCCTCTCCATTCATTTTTGTTGTGAACTAGATGTGATTTTCTTGTGAAGTCACAATGACCAGAATGTTGTTTTAGTGTATAGTAATAATACAAAACAAAGCTACCATAGAGTCAGCATACTTTTAATTTCATTATTCATTCCTCACTATTTCTCTGCAAGTTATGATGAGCTCCACATTTAGAGATGAAAGGACTAGGGTTCACAGCCAGGATTTCCCAGTTAACAACTGAGGGACGGCAGAATCCGTACCCAGGTTATCTCCTCACAAAGCTCTTCTGCTGACATGCCATCCCCACTCCATAGCATCCAGGACACAAACAGAGCCTCGCGCTCTTGTTCTAGTGCCTTTAGGGACACGTGTCTGTTTATTGCTCACATGATCTTAGGACTTTTTTCAGAGGAAACACTGTGAGGACAAGAGAAGACATGAATGTGACTTCAATGCATGTGTAGGAAAATTCTGATTACTTTTCTCCATCTTCCCTCTCTTTGATGGCCTTTATTGAATCCAAAACTGGGTGTTTTTCCAGCTGGATACCTTCCAGTGGGTCATCTGGTGATGTGAACTGTCTAAAGGGAGGTGTGAACTTAATTGCATGTGGCAAGTGAATGTGACAAGAGGGGGCCTTACCATTACGGAATATGCACTAAGAGAAAGCAGTCAAAATGAGCTGCAGACATGGGACAGGCTGTCTGAGACCAAAAGGGATCTTACCGGACACACCCCTGCAGAGATTGCAAAGCCTCTTCCTGCCCTGCCCCATGGATACACTTCCCACAATTAATGGCGCCAACATGAACCTTTTTGCCTTGCTTCCAGTAGCAGTTTAAAAAATGAGTCTGACTCAGACTGAAGTTTTGCCTTTTGTCATTTCTTATTGAAACACAATTTGAAGATAGCATTAATTTTCACTTTCTTCATTTTGTGTACCTGCCTAGGAGTTTTCTCAAAAGGCCAAAAAAATCAATTTAGACATTCCAAGAATAAAGCTAAATAGAAATTTTTTTGGTAAATGGTGGGGAACCATGGAAGATCTTTAAGCAGCCAAGTGCTACATGAATAGCAGTGTTTTTAAAGATTGACGGTGACAGTCTGCAGAATGAACTAGTAGGGGGAACAGAAAGACTACTCCAAAGGCTGGGGCCCCGGTTGACTGATGGCAGTAATCAAGGTATGTGGGGGAGGGGGCTAGGGAAGCAGCCAGGCTGGAGAATGGAAAGAAAAGTGTATTTCAGGACAAGTTTCACAGCTGGTTAAAAGTGTGGCAAAAGTTGCCAAACACAAAGAATATATTTAGGGTTCAAGACCTGGGCACTGAGAAAATTGTGAGAGCAACAAGAGGTGGTCGGAAGCAGCAACTGGTTCAAGGAGAGAAATGATGAAAGCTGATTTCTCTGCATGTGGTCTGTGTAAGAGAGGACTTGCAACTCTTGCTGGAGATGCAGATGGGCAGTCACCAGTGAGTGGATTCTTCAGAGAAAAAGTGCAGAGGCAGTAAAAAAAGGACTGTGGAAAGAACTTTGGGAAGTATTCATTTTAATATTTATTTATTTGGCTATGTCAGGTCCTAGTTGGTGGCATGCAGAATCTTTCACTGTGGCCTACAGACTCTCTGGTTGTGATGTGCAGGCTTCAGAGTGCTAGGGCTCAGTAGCTGTGGGCTTACTGGCTCCAAGGCATGTGGGCTATTAGTTCCCCAACCAGAGTCCCCTTCATTGCAATGTGCATTCTTAACCCTGGACTACCAGGGAAGTCCTGGAAATATTCTTATTTAAGGTTTGGGTAGAAGGAGCAAAGCTAAATAGATAAGGCAGGATAAGGATAAGGCACATAAGCAAGAGTTGGCATCTAGCAAGAAGCTTAATATATAGTTGTTCATCAATGAATATTTTTAATGAAAGAATGAATGATTGTAATTATAACAGGAAAAAATCAAAGGTAAAAAGAGGTTCAAAAGGAGGTGACTGACAGAGGTATTACTAAAATTGAAGTGTAAAGAAAGAGAATAATAATTCAAGAAGGTATTAGATTTGTCAGATCTGTCAACTGTAGGACATTGGTGGCATTTAGGATTTTTTTTTTTTAAGGCCGAAATCCCAGTCAGAAGTTTAGCATGTTAGTGATGAGGCAATTAAAACTATCATTATATTTACTGAATATAAATAATAAAGTAATACCTTAGGATAGTGGGCCAAAACGTATTATGTTTGTAATCATATTGCAGACCGTTTTCATTTATTTTAATGTGGTGTTTGGAACTTTGTAAAACAGTAGTTGACGTTATTGTTTCTCAGTGAAACTCGGTGATATTCTCCTTTTAGGTAGAGTCCTAAATTTCTTGTTTGAAGGAACAGCTATAAAGAGACTGAAGGTAGAGTGGGCCGGGAGTAGAATCCAGATATATTTAAATCTTATTCTCTGACTGTTCTTCACAGTGTTTATTTATTGAAGGTCCTGCTTCTAAAGAAATGATTCAAGGTGATTTATGCAAATAATCTTTCAACGGGAGGAAAATTTTTTTTTTTAAATAAGTGGATGAAAAAAACAAAAAAATGGAAAAAATAAGATTAGAAAACATTAGATAAAGTCAGGTGGGCCGTTAGAATATAAAATATTTGATGTAATTCCCAGCATATTTCTTGTTAATAGGTCATGAACTTGTTGTTTCAAAGCTTTCAAGAGGGAAACATAGTAAGTTATAAGATCCATGTGCCCAGAAGGGGAAAAGATGCCTGGAAGAAGCTCAGTTACTTTGGTTTCTCATAAAGAAAACATTTTTTTTTTTTTTCATACAGCAAGCAACATTTTTAAAAGATAAAAATAGCAATGAGCTTCATAGGGCTACTTCTGTTGGTATCCCTCAATGCGAGTAGATAGTATGAAACCCAATTATAAATTCAATAAAATAATTCCTCAAGGATTTAGCATTTCAACATAGAGCACAATGCTTAGCTGTTCAGGCTTAATCCAGGGACAGATTTGGCCTATCTAGGGAAATGGGGGCACGCCCTTCAGAGTGGCTTCCATAAATATTTTCTTTTGCTCAATTGATCTTTTGATAGCAAGTGA